GCCAAGACCGCCGTTGCAAGTCCTCAACACCCGACACATAGGAAAAAACATGTGCCACCGTTCTTTGACGACGCAACCAAAACTCCCCTCCGCCATTACAATTTTTGATTGCAACCACCATGACTTTCTTCACCACTGTCAACGCCCTGGAAATCAATATTTAGACATGTCCCATGACACTGACAAGAGAGCGAAGCTTCGCACCACACCCTCATGAAGCCTCTCCGGCCGAAGATGAGGGCGTGCCCGACTAGATCAATTTCGATCTAGATATCCAGTGGCGCTATGGGCCAAAAACTGAGATCTCCGAGAGGAAGACCGGAACCCGTCGGTGTCCAGATTGAGGAGACCGGCCTGAAGCAGATCAAAGTTTTGGAGCTCGAAGAACAGTAGGGCCAACCACCACGGAGCTCCCCTGAATCCGGACAGACCAGATCTGGGCAGTGCCCGGCCTCTGCCAACCCATTCGAGAGCCGCCGCTGCAAGTCCTCGGGCACCGCACCGCCAGCCCAAGGTCGGGCGAGGTAGCCATCGGCGCACCGGACATGACCACTCGCGAGGAGGAGGACGTCAGCAGCCCTCTCGGTTGTGCCCCTGAATGGGACAGACTACCGCTGGGCAGCAAGGCCGACTTCCCAGTTCACGCCAGCCCTCCTCGCCACGAGCACCATCGCTCGAGATGGACGACCTCTAGGGGACGATGCGGGAGCCCAACTGATGCGGAGCATCCCAAGGTCTTCCCCATGGACCTACCATCGTCTCATCAAGTGCCTAGTGGACCCATGACTCGATCACGTGGAAGAGCTCTTGAGACCGAGGTGACATCTATGCTCTCACAATTCCACTTCGATGACCATGAGACATGGCTACGACCTCAAACGGAGACATTGTGCATACTCAGGTATCAAGGAGTTAGCCATGGAGACACCAAGGAGCAAGGAGAATCCGAAGAGGAAGATGGACGTGAAGATGGAGAAGGAAAGATGATCGTCAGCAGAAGCCCGGAAGTTTCGGACCGCCGTCTGGACGATCCGGCCTCAGCCCGGATGATCCGGACCCCGGCCCGGACGATCCGGATAATATGCCCAACGACTCCCGAAGCGTCAACATGAAGCCAGGTCATCCGGACCCAGGCCCGGATCATCCGACCACACCCGGACGTCCGGACCAGGTCCCGGACATCCGGCCCTCCCGCAGCTGCTCCAACACAACCGGATCATCCGGACGCCGACCCGGACCATCCGGACCCCCGAAGCCCGGATCGTCCGGACCAACTCCCGGATCATCCGGCCACCACCTGCGTGCGTGACTTGGGCCGAGGCCCGTATACCCGTTTCATCCCCTCACTTACCCCTTCAGCCCTTGGGCTATAAATAGATCTTCTCCTCCCCATTTTTAGGGTTAGCAAAGGTTTAGCTCATGTTTATGTGAGAGCTTTGCTCATCCACTTGGTTACCTTCTCCACGGAGATTCGAGCCTCCACCGGAGAAGATCCCCCAAGCGGATTCAAGACCCCTTTTTAGGGAAGAACTCAAGACCTCCTCACGGAGAAGACCGGCTACCCTTGTATCATCCTTAGTTGTTCGTGAATCGTGTATCTTTTCTTATGTACTCGAGGGTCTAGACCATGTGTGACTTATTCGTGTCGGTTTAGTGTTTCCTCTCGTGTTTCTCATTGTGATTTCTCTCCGTTCTTCCCCGTATTCTTCGTGATTTTCGCGGGATCCGCTCATTTCGTGAAAGATCGGGCGATTAGGGCCTCTACCCTACATCACCAACTGCTGGCGCTGAAGCCCCCCGCAACCACCAGTGTCCCGATCTGTCCAATCTAGCCGTCGTCGCGCCATGGGAGACCACCACTGCGTAGCCCAACGCGCTTGAGCGTGACGACCGCGTCACCGTCTCCCAACACCTGCTACCACGCCGCCGCACCCCACGCCAACGCGCCGTCGCTGCCCACCGCCATCTCCCCGCGCAAGACGACTTCGAGCGGGAGGTGAGGAAGTCCGGCCGCCGCCGCCGGCGGCGGCCTGGCTTTGCCCGGCGACACATCACGGCGGTGGCGAGGACAGGGGATGGAAAGGGGGGCCAAGGGCCGGCCGGCGGCGCTAGGGTCCCCCCGGTCGCGATGCGGGCATGGCACGGGAGGGATATGGTTTGTACCATATTAAGCGAATATACTCCCACGATTATCAAGTATCAATAGCCGTGTCCGACCCGGTCTAACACTATGTGTCCACACAGATATTTGCATATGTGTGATCACCAATCCACCATTCCTAGCGTGAGGTCGAGGGTGATCCGTTGCTCTCTGAAGTGTCTGTTACGACAGGCAAGACGGCCAGACGATCGACGGCTTCCACACGCATCTCTCATTTACTAGTCTCACTGGCTATGAACGACGACTCCACGTTACAAACAATCAGTCGCACTGCCTGTAAAATAGTAGTGCTCCTCGCCACGGTCGTTTTCTCTGAAGCCTGTAGCTATAGCGCTGCACTTTCGCCATGCATCGCTCGGTTGCCAAGCTCGCCTTGCTCCTCGCCACGGTCATCTTCTCCGTCGCCGCCGCTCATGCCCGGCAGCTCCAGCTGGCCCATGCGGCTGGCGCGAGCTGCTTGCCGCACGAGAGAGACGCATTGCTGGCCTTCAAGCAAGCCGGCAACGACACCTACGACTTCCTCGCCTCGTGGCAAAGACGGCACAAAGATTGTTGCCGGTGGAGGGGTGTCACCTGCAGCAACGAAACCGGCCATGTGATCGAGCTTGACATTGGTGTCACCTTTTTGGAGGGCAAGATAAGTCCTTCCTTGCTTTCTCTCGAGCATCTTGAGTACCTAAATCTCAACAACACCAACCTACTTGGACCAGACGGTACTTCTTTGTTCCCAGAAATCTTGTGTTCTTTAAGCAACTTGAGGCACCTCGATCTCTCAGGGACACGATTCTCTGGTAGATTGCCAGCTCAACTTGCCAACCTTTCAAATTTGGAGTACCTCGATCTCTCAGAGACATCCCTGCACGGGCCTAATGGTCGCGCTCCAGAGTTCTTGCCCCGTAAAAACTTGAGACATCTCGATCTCTCAGGCACACAGTTCTCTTGGAGAGTTTCTCCTCAGCTTTTCAACCTTTCAAAGTTGGAGTATCTCGACCTCTCCCACACTAGCATGTCGGGTATACTGCCGCCTCAGCTCGGAAACCTTTCAAACTTGCGACACCTTAGCCTCGGTTTCATGCAAGATATACACACATCAGATATCTCATGGTTAACTCATCTCCATTTCCTGGAATATGTTGACATGAGTAATATAAATCTCAGCAGAGCGGATGTATTTCTCGTGGCCAACACAATACCATCTCTGAAGGCCCTTATTCTTATCAGTTGCGCACTTCCAAATGCAGACCAGTCGCTTACGCAAGTAAACCTCACGAAACTAGAGCAGCTTTATCTCTCTGGAAACTATTTGGGCCACCGAATTGAAACATGTTGGTTCTGGAACCTAACAAGCATCAAGGACCTAGAACTCGAATCAACCTATCTTTATGGTCCATTCCCTGATGCACTAGGAGGTATGATATCCCTCCAGCGCATGAATTTTAACTATAATGGTAATTCAGCCACAATGACGGTGGACTTGAAAAATCTATGTGATTTAGAGACCCTATTGCTCGATAGGAGTCTTGCATTTGTGAACCTGACAGATTTCGTGATGAAACTGCCACAATGTTCGTCCAATAAATTGAAGATGTTGAGCTCAAACCACAACAATATGGCAGGAGTGCTGCCAGATATGGTTGGGCACTTCACCAGCTTGAAGTCCCTTTACCTTTATAATAATAGCATTACTGGAGCTATACCAACTGGTTTAGTGAATTGTACTAGTTTGCGAACAGTCGCTCTCGGTTTGAACCAACTAAGTGGGCAGATACCAACATTGCCGAGAAGCCTCACCCAAGTGGACTTATCCATGAACAGCTTGTCAGGACCTTTGCCGTCAGATTTTGGAGCTCCAGATCTTACAGTACTAAGTCTATCCTCCAATTACATCACTGGTCACGTTCCTAGTCCTATTTGCAAGTTGCAAAACCTAGTTTTCTTGGATTTGTCCCAGAATAGGTTTGAGGGAGAATTTCCCAGGTGTTCTTCAATGCCAAACTTGATATTCGTACACTTAAGTAACAACAACTTCTCCGGAAATTTCCCGCCATTCCTCCAAAACTGCTCGCAATTGACTTTCCTTGATCTTGCAATGAATGGGTTCGATGGAGCACTACCAGTATGGATCGGAGACCTAGTGAACTTGCGGTTTGTCCAGCTAAACCATAACATGTTCTATGGGGATATTCCAGCTAACATCACAAGTCTTGTACTACTTCAACTGTTCAGTTTAGCGAGCAACAATATATCAGGATCAATTGCATCATCCTTGTCAAAATTAATAGGCATGACCCTGAAACATCTGCCAAGATCTGAACCACAGTGGTTTGAATTCACAGGCTCTACAGATGAAATGCTGCCCGTGGATATTTTGTCTGTGGTGATGAAGCAGCAAGAACTTAAGTTTAGAGGTGCTGCATTTACTGACATCGTCAGCATTGATTTGTCGCTCAACTACTTGACCGGTGAACTTCCAGATGATATAACTTCTCTGAATGGACTGTTGAGTTTGAATTTATCATGGAATCACCTGAGCCAGAAAATTCCAGCGAAGATAGGGGATATGAAATCACTAGAATCACTCGACTTGTCAAGGAACAATATCTCCGGTGAAATCCCAACGAGCCTCTTAGATTTGACATATCTAAGCTCCTTGGACTTGTCATACAACAATCTTGCAGGAAGAATTCCAACAGGCCGTCAACTTGACACCCTGTACGCAGAAGATCCGTCCATGTACGATGGCAACAGTCACCTTTGCGGGCTTCCTGTTCAAAGGAATTGCTCAGGCAACAGTCCACCAGAGCATGGGAATCATCAGAGAAGTGAAAATGCTTATGAACCAGTGATGTTCTTCTACATTGGGCTAGCGTCTGGCTTTGTGGTCGGACTCTGGCTTGTGTTCTGTGCTTTCCTGTTCAAAAGGGCGTGGAGACATGCCTATTTTCGCCTCTTTGACAAGCTATGTGACAAGGTGTACGTGTTTGTTGTTGTTACTTGGGGCCGGATAAACACCAAGGCGACTGCAAGTTGAGTCTAATCTAATAATGCCCGTGGCACTCTATTACTGTGCTCCGTGATTAAATAAAGATGAAGAAGTATCTATTAGCAGCTTGTACAAGGTGATATGAACCTTTTCTGATGCATGTAACTGTTATTGGTTTGTACTCGTTGGTCATGATGAACCCACACGTGATTTTGGCTTCCTACTCTGTTGTGTTTCATGTCGATGGTTGATGGTTTGTAACACTGAACTGCACTAGCAGAGCGGGCCTGTACAATTTTGCACATCTTAATATATATATTGTATTTGTGCGCTTTAAGCATACAAATTTTCTAGATATTTTGTTAATTCTCAGCTGGCTAATTCTAATAGATCTCAATCGTCACAGCAAAAGCAAACTTGTCAGTTTCTGAGATAGGGACATGCGGCCAACACAGATGGAAGGCAAGATACATATCAGGTAGGAAAACGCTCGCCGACGAGTAAACAGAGGCGACGGCTACCAAGAGACCACCTGGAGATGGTCGATTTCACCGGGAGCACGAAGCACCGCCGCACCGATGGAGGTTTTCTTCCCCGGTGATGGTGCCCACACAAGGAGCTGCGGCTGCTTACCCGTCGTCCAGCGGCGCCGCCGCCGACGACAAGCGGGGGCGGAGTTGGAGGCTGCTAATATTGGGAATGCGTTGGACTGGAACCAGTGCGATTGTAGCAGGCCCCCCAATGTTATAGCAAGGGAAGACGTCACGCTGAAGTTGTGAGCCCAAAACTCAAAATGAGAAGCCCATTATGAGTGTAACAGTATAGAAGCAGATTCACTATGCGACCTCAAAATAACACCTTAAAAAAAAAGGAGATTTGCTACACGGTGTTCAAACTTGCAAGTTCTAAAAAAATGTGAAAAAGATTCCAAAATTTCTCAAAAAATCTATGGGTGCATATAAGGACGCATTTGGTTGCTTGTATATGGGCCAACCAGGCCCGTGCGGGACGAAAACCAGTTGTTTGGTTGCCTGAGCGGCACCCACATCCCGGCCCGCACGAAACTTAAAGCAGTCCCGGGCCAGGCCCACGAGCTACAGTAGCCAGGCTGAGCGCGGCCACACGTGCCTCCTCGCCGCACGCCTCGGGAAGCGCAGGAGACGGAACCGAACGTCTCATAACTCCCCCTCCCTCTCTTGTCACCGCCCACTCCCTTTCACACCACACCTCCTCACTCTCCTCTCACCGCCGGCCCCTTCCACTCCTCTCCTCTCCACCGATGAGTCGCCCTCCGCCGCGCCCTCCGCCGCGCCCTCCGCTGACCCCATCATCAGCGCCGGCAACAACCGCATCCACGAGCGGTGGGTTGCCGGCTTGGCGAACTCTGGGGTCGATCTAATGCGGGCTCTGCACGCGGCCTCCCCTATCTACACCAGGCCACCTCGTCCGGTCAATCTAGTGCCGGCCTCTCCGGCTCCACCACAGTTACCGGACCTCATGGTCCTAGGTTTGGTGACGCCGCCGATGGGGGTCGGCACCGCGACGCTGCACGAAACCCCTTTGCTTGGGGAGGGGGGGGGTTACCCCATCCAAGGTTTTCTGCAAGCATCGCCACGGGCCCATGGGCGACGGCGACCTCCTCCTCGACCGCACGCGTGGGCAGGAGCACCGGGCCAATGCCGATGGCCGTCGGCGTTGGTGGCTCCTCCTCCTCGCCCACCATCTCCTTCCCACCGGGGTTTTCTCTCCGGCCGACGTACGCTCCAACTCCACCCACTCCGGTAAGAACAATCCCTCTACTTGTAGATTTGTAGGTTAGGGTTTTCGTCATTAGCATGCTCTGGTGAGATGTGAATCGATTTGATATGATCCGATTCGATTGGAATCAAATCGAATCGATTCCTTCTTGTGCGGTACTGTTCATGGGCAAGTTAGTGTTCATGCTTGTTCTGTATTTCATGTGCATGCGTAGTATAGTGTTCATAGGCATGCAAGATTGGATTGTGCTTAGTGCTGATGATGTAGAATGTGGTCTTGGCTATGTTAGATATAGTTCTTTTGATTGATGTTCATGCCTACTAGTGTTCATAGGCATGCAATATTGGTGTGTGCTTAGTGCTCATGATGTACAATCTGTTCATGGCCATGGTAGATTGTTTTTTATGTTCACGATTAGTGCTCATGTGCAACAATTTGTTCATGATGCTAGCCATATTGTTGTTGTCTTTGATGTTCCTCCTACTTGTTCATGTGCATGTTATCTAGATTGGTGTGTGTTTCATGTTCATGCTTAGGGTTCATGGGCATGCTAGCTATATTGGTGTTGTGTTGTCTTTGATGTTCGTGCTTAGCCTTCTAGTACATATTTGCATGTTAGGTTTACGTGCATGGTTCTCATGGTAGGTAGGACAAATGTGTTTGCTACTTTAGGGACTAGTACCAATGTAGCATGCTGCCAATGCCTTGCTACTAATCCATGTCATCTTAGCTGACAAGGTGATGAAGACGGACTGGGATAGGGCCGGTGGAGGAGCCCATGTCGTAGACGGCGCCGAGGCCACCGTGGACTTCGTCCCCATGAATCCTGGCTCAAGAGTGTGTACCTGCCTGGCAGGGTCGCCTTCATTAGCCGACCATGTTCAAGGGGACGAGCTCCTAGGACCGGCCACGAGGAGGGGTCCCGAGAGCCGCTACGATTCTACGTGCAAATCATGGACGAGGAGGATCTAGCCATGCTCATCATCCCTCCCAAGTTCCGGGAGGCGATGAGGCAGTGGCTACGGTGATCGGAGAACTTGGCATGAACCTGTTAATATTTTGTCTAGGGTTAAGCACCTGTTGTCTTTAAACTTAAGTCTGTTTAGCAGATTTGCTGTTTAGTTGCTTGTTTATCTGCTGTTATCTGTTGTTTAGTTGCTTGTTTCTCTGTTGTTAGCTTGTTTAGCTGCTAGTTGTTGTGTTGTTTAGTGCTCTACCTGTTGTTGTGCCTAATGTGGTGGCCGGTAAGGCCATCGCCTAATGTGGTGGCCGGTAAGGCCATCACATTTGAATGGGGTGAGCAGAACACAAACATGTATGTAGCCAAACAGCTGTGGTGCTCACCCTTAAGCACAAATTCAAACAACCAAACAACCGGCCCTAAAATGGCCATTAATGCAATGCAGGCAACTAAACAACATGCAGATGTTGATTTGTTGCCTGTTTTTGCTAAACCATGCTGGATTGAGATGTGGCTGAAATGCAGGCACTATTCATCCAAGGCAACCAAACGCACCCTAAATGTTTTCTAGTACGAGTAAAACTTACGTATTAAATAGTACATTGATCTAAATGTTACACAAAATGACAAGTTTCTGTTTGAAAAAGAAAATGTGACCCCATTTTGATACATGTATTTGCCTTTGGTGTACACCACAGAAAAGATATAGATGAATCGGTTAAAGAAAATAGTACTGCCCATTCAGGTAAAGCTGCTGGAGCTAACCTCATAATTTTTGTATGACTCAAACAGAAAAAATCAGCATCACAATCATGAAGATTGTGCCAAAAGCTCCGAAACTGAACCATCTCAAACAGAGAACAGCGGTAGGGAATTTGCAACGTGGTAGTACACTTTCAGCCTCAAATTTTAGAATCATTTTTGGCCACACTAGTATGAGTAGAGGGCGAAAGAACAGTAGGCGTACGAGGGGCTCATGCGGTAGGAACATCCCAGCTCATAGGCATGCTTATTTAGAAATGTACGAGCCAGCTAGTCACCAACAAATCAAAAAAAATTGATCAAATTCACGGAGTAAAAGCCTCAAGCAAGGGACCGCGTATAATCTTACTAATTGGCACTTCCTTCAACCGAAAACATATATAACAGCCATTTTTTACTCTTGACAGCATTAGGGAGTACTTTCACCAGAGTGTTCCATATGAAGTGCACCCTCTGTTTCTAGATATAGGACGTCCCATTGGTTCAATTTAAACTACCAAATGTCTTATATTTAGGAATGGATGTAGTATTAAATATCCATGGTGGCCAAAATTGAATAGATTAGACTGCAAATAAAGCATAGCTACAAATAGTTTTCCCTCAAAAAAAGCTACAAATATAGTTTGTACCAGCCAAATCATACGAGTGGCTAAACATGCAGCTTCACCGCTAAACTGAGACGATTAAAAGTGCAATAACCATCACTGCATGCATTCAGTTTTCTTTCTGCACCAACAGATGCAGCGGCTTCATAATCAAAGAAAATGAAACATGAGAAGCAGAGATAACAACAGGCAGATTCATCATAAGGACTTGTTTGGCTGTAGAGCTGCAGAGGGTAAAACAACTCTTCTGAATGTAATTCCAGTGAGATAATTCATTTCAGAACAGCTTTCCAGGTCATGAGCAACAAACAGCAATCGACAGGACTCGCACACTGGCCATTCTGGCAGCAAACATGTCATGTCTATCCTCCACAAAGAGTAATATGATTCAGCCACCTGCCTGATCATGCTACAAATACAACTCACAGTAGCATCACCGCAGCAATGATACCTTCTCGACACACAAATTTTTATCTAATAAGAAACCAAAAACACGCACACACGCTCACTATACAAAAGGGAACGCCATGGGATAAAACATAAGCAGAGATTTAAAATTGAACCCTCGACCTGACACAATGGTACATAAGAAAACAATGGCGCAACTGACACTTTGGCTTGCATCACCATGCTTGCTTGCGAGCATAGAAAAAAAAATGAAGAACGAGATTAACTGACAGGGCCAATGCTAATTATTAATACAAAACAAGTGATTGTGTCTTCATGCCAGTTGACTAGTGTCTACAGAAGACCCGGTATACACAACATACAAAATGGACAAATCTACGCGGAGGGTGGGGGGAGCCACTTCTTCATCTCAACCACCGGAATGCATTTCTAGATACCTGCAGAGCAATCAATTTAATCAGTCAAACCAATTTGTACAAGACATTCATGGAAAAGCTGTTAAAGTTATATCTCACAATTTATGTATGACTCAAACAGTAAACGTTGGCTTCACT